TCTTCGTTCAAAATTGATTTGCAAATTGTCATTTTGTTGGGAAGTGTTCCTTTAGATGCAGATGCTTTTTTTTATTATTTTTTTTTTGTTAAATTCACATTTTATAAACTAATGAAAACTCTGTTGATTTAGCATGTAGGTAATGCTTTTGTGCCAGTGTCTGTGTCTGGGCTGCACAGTTTTATGTGTTTGTTCACTGCCATCTACGAATAAATTAATAGCTCACTAATAATGAATTTATCCTTAATATGTTCAGTTGGCAGTCATGTTGCATTGTGGGTAATGTAGGTGCCAGCTTTTGACAATGAAAAAAAATAAATAAATAATACATAAATATATACACACACACATATATATATATATATCCTATATATCCTTGTTGTTTTCCATTGTGAGTCAGAGAGTACATTTATGGGCGTTGAACTGATGAACATTCCAGCAGTGTGCGTGTTATGCCTGTGTGTTCATATGTGACTGCTTTATGACACTGAGGAGAAGGGATTGTTTTAAGGTTAAGACTTACTGTCAAGGTTAAAGTATGTGTGCATGCATGCATTATGTCAGTGAGAATCCTGAGAGTGCAAAAGGACAAGTGTGTTTGTGCAAGTGCATGACTTTGTGCAGAGTTTCCAATTAATTCCATTAAAACTTCTCTTTGGACAGAAACAGAGAGAAATGTGCTGCGTATCTGTGTGTGTGCGCTTATGTTTGTGTGTTTGTGCCTTTTCTGAGCCATTGATTGTAAGGTGACATTGCTGCTGAACAGATGCCCCTCCCTTTCTCCCTCTGTCCAACAGCTGTACCATCCAGCTATAACATCGCTGATGGGAACAAATCACCTCTTTTTGTTTGCAGCCGTCTGTTTGTCCTCTGTCTGAAAGACATTTGAACCTTAACTTGTCCAGAGAGGGTTTAGTGAACATGTTTATGTGCACTAGATTGCAACATAGGCGACAACTTCCCCAAAACATAAAGCATGCTTATTTATAGGAATACTATAATTACATATGACACTGGGGAAAAGTATGCCGATACGTCATTTTGTTCTTTGACTTTGTCATGGATTGTATACATTTTTCTTCAAGGGAATACTAGTGTTACTTAGTCAGGATGCTGGGAAACATCAGCTAGGATTGACAGCCTATAACAAAAGAACTATATTAAAACATACTGATAAGAGATATGTCATGTAAACTTGTATTCAAGCTAATACGGTATCCTTTTATTATCCTTGTTTTTCCAGAATTATACTCAATAATTATACTGATATTTACACAAACACATTTACTACATTCACTACACAGTTCCATTAGACAATCACTGAGCACACCTTGTTGTTTGTGAATTAGGATTAGCAGAGGTGGTTAAAGTTTTATCTTTTGTGATCACTTTTTTCCCACATGACTGCCTCACATGACCTGTGAGCACAAAGAAGCCTCTGTCCTTTTCGTGGTAGTTAACGTTAAAAAGAAGTGAAAAAGTTTGAGGCAGTTGTTAATTTAGCAGAGGTGGCCCACTCCTGCTCTAAACAGCTGTGGGAAACCTCTGTGGTTACAGAACCATGTAGTGCGTCAACCCAGCTAGTCATTTTGGCCACAATACAACATGAGAACGACTCATCTTTGAGGATCGTAAAGCAGCTGGAAAATGGATAGAAGAGTTGAAAGAAGAGCAGCAGAGAAGTTGAGAAATACTTTACTTGTATCTGAACATGATCTCATCCCTACTCATCATATTTTGACGCTTGGGTTGAAATCAAGATACAATGCAAAAGGCTGCCCCCAGCATACAGTGACACCAGAGGGCAGCCTGATGTGTTGTACCTTGACACAGGTGATTGACGGTGAGGTTTAGGCAACAAACCTAGCCTAATTGGTAAGGGTTAGAAAAACATAACGGAACTAACGACTGACTAATGACTCAAAATTACAAAAAAACTCAACTTTGACTTGTAGTTCCACACAGGACAGTGGTCTCCTAGTCTCCTGGGTCAATGCCCTGTGCACGTTGGACCATTCACCTCCCCTACCGCCCACCTTAAGCAGACTTTCTTACCCTTTATACTGTGTCCATTGCTCTAAACATCTAATAATGACAGAGGAGTTTACATTACAGACACTAAAGGGTGCATTGTGTGTCTGTACAGTATCTGACATGAGGGACCACTGCCCATGTGGCATTTTTTGACGCCCTGGAAGTGAGACCAGGTTGACGTACAACAGCTGTCAATATATTGCACATAGGCAAGTGTGCTTCACTTCATTCAACATGACCGAAATAGTTCTCACAAACCACAAACACTAGGGTGACGTCTGAAAGTTACCAAACGTGTTTATTGTTCCTTAGTATTGCAGCAGGCAGTATCTTTTTCATGCAGCTGTGATCGATATTTTTATCTTAACAATGGAAAATGTGCAAACTACTTGCTTTCAACGGGGGTTGCTCAAAGTGACAAATCCACAACATCATCTTTTAGCTTTTTGTTTCTGGTCCACAGCTTTACTGCATCGGTTCAGTCTCACAGCTCCTATCAGTATCATTTTCATCCACAGCAGACAGAGGTTTTCAGTTAAAAAGCTCCGTTAAACTTATTGTATGCTGCCCTGTCCAGCACCAAATGGCAGTCACATGAAGTAAGTACCTCGCTGGTGAAGCATTTAGCAGCTAAAGAACCTGATATTTCCCTCAGGAAATGGTGGAGACCAAAACAGAGCTAAAGTTAGAGAGAATACTGGATTTATATTTATCAGGTGGCCATAAACACTGCTAATGTTGCTCTGTGTCTGCCTGATGTGCAAGTGAGGGAACTTGCTGACCTTTAAGGTGATTATATATCAGAGCTATGTGTACAGTTTGTTTCTGCTGCCCCAAGTGGCTGAAATATCAGTAATTGCAGGTTTAATAGTGGGATTAACAAGTGTCTTTCTATCAAACTATCTGATGGCCGACAGTAGAAGACAGTGCCTGCACTTGGGGGTGCTTATATGTGGAAGTTTATGAATGAGCTTTAGTGAAAAACAAAGCAACAGCAACAGCAACAAACAGCTTTTCCGAGACCTGAGGAGTGACCATGTATCTTCCCTGAGGTTCACACCACATGTATATCCTGACCCATGCTGATTGGAAACAAGCATGTGGTGCTGAAACATCTGCTTTTGTGCACCTGACATACACAAACATTAGAGAAATGCTTGCAGATCTCCTACTGATCACCACTGGGGTTTTTTAACTCTCCTGGGAGTGAAATTCTGTGAAAGAGACAAACAAACTGAGAAAGCTGGAACTCATTCAGGTTTGAGCAGATTACTGAGTATATGTCACCATTCAGGGCGCCGAGGCTGAGAGCATAACCTGAGCCAAGATGTACTGTAGTAAGAATCGACACTTCAGGTAGGGCTTGTTTCGGTAACATTTTTGGTTTTGGCTGGAGGAAGTAAGAAAAGAGCCATGGCTTGGGGTAATGCAATCTCCGATCAACATTTCCAAAACTACTACAGAAAAAAGTGTATTTTTCATATTTTTCTATGATGAGTTAGCTTGATATGGTTCTTATTACAGGCTTGAGTGTTGTTTTGTCATACCTTGACAGTTTCGATGACTGTGCCTGTTGTAATCATCAGAAACGTCACGTGATGTGGTGACGTGTCCGACAACCTGGATAAAACATCTACAGGACACGTCACCGCAACATCATGTGACGCTTCTGATGATGATGACAGATGCAGTCATCAAAACTGTCAAGGTATGACAAGCTAAGTGTTATAAGTAGGCTATATGAATTTGTTTAGACTAAGAATGATGAGTGTTCAGTGTTTCATATCTTAACAATAGAAAAATTACAATGTACATTTTCTGTTTTTTTTTGCTAAAAGACAGGGCTGAATATGATGCCGGATACCTTTAAGGTATCGGCCAAATTTCGTGCAGAGCTCACACTCCTACACCTATACTGAGGTGTGGTGAAGTCGAGCATGGTATGACTGACAGGGTTGGCAGTTCGGCCTGCCAAGATGCCATCAAAGTGTTTCCCACCTCATTCACATTATGGGTATTACATGAAGTACTCTATAGGTATCTGTATCATTTTAAGGATACAGGTATTGGTACTGGTATCGCTGTTCAATATGAAGCAGGGCGTAACCTTTCAGAATCATCCTGCTGGTCCGAGGATTTCAACCAGCAACCTTTCCATCATAAAACTGCTGCTCCAAAAAGTAAACTACAAATACATTTTAAAAACAATCACTATAGGTAACTAATGCTTTTAAAAAGAGACAGACACGCTATGACAATGCGACAAAGTGCGTGTGTGCCTTTAAGATGCTTGTGCCAGGCGTTTTCCTGGAATACTCTGAACAGAATTATGGGTGTTTTATGGCCACATGGTATGTTGTACATGTTGCAGCATGTTAGTTCCCATAACGGTGTGTTCTACCAAGACACACACACACACACACACACACACACACACTGCTGCTGTTATTTACAGTGTGGTAACTGAGTTCAAGCCAAACATTTCCACAAAGCCACAAATGTATATGCTGAACTAGCTCTTAGAGGTTTGTGAGTGCAATGTAAACATAGATGTACAGATCGCTGTCAGTGGATTACTTTGATGCCAATAAAAACTTTGAAAGTGAGGATTCTCAAGCAAATTCTTAAGTTATGACTTTTGAGATCATTATATCATTAGGAAGTAAGTTATACTGAATTTATTACAGTTGCTGCTGCTGTTGCAACTGCTGACCGTGTTGACAAGTGGGCCAAATCAGTGGGCCAAAATACAGTAATCAACTTCCTGGGGTTTTCAGAAAAACGGCATGCAACCTTTCGAATTTTACCTCATACTTTATCTTTGCCTCACCTCTCTCCCTCCACCCTGTAACACTCCTGTGCCCACTTGGGAGAGTGCACCTCACAGATTCGATTGGAGGAAAGGGACTAATGTTCTAACTCCTGTAAAGCACATCTCTTAATTTTTTTTCTCTTTCTTTCTGCAGATCTTACAGGTGAATCTAGTGATGTCCATCCTGTTGTATGTGATGGTCCTCGTGTACCTCTATGGTATCCAGGCAACCAACATGGACAGCAGTCGCCAGGGACAACAGCAGCAGCAGCAGCAGCCAAGTCCCGACCCCTTAAACTCCCTTATCATCCAGCTGCTTCAGGCTGACCTGACGAGGGGGAAGACCCGGGGGAACCAGAGCCAACAGGGGAAAAGCAGGGACACTGAGCCCCAGGACACGCTGCCTCCTCTCCTCAGTGCAAACTTTCCTTTAGAGGAGGAGGGTGATGCAGAGCAGTGGGGGACGGGGGGTCGCAGCGGCGGGAGCAGCGACTGTGTGGTTGACCGGCAGGTGATGCTGCTAAACTCAGACCTTCTAAGGCAGCATAAGCGGTACAACTCACCTCGGGTGTTGCTGAGCGATCGGCCACCACTGCAGCCGCCGCCACTGTACCTCTCAGATGATTACGTGACCGATGGACTGGATGGCGGGGCAGCTGGAAACAAGACAAGAAAGAAGCGTCATGCTGAACACAGGAGCTATCGTGGGGAATATTCTGTGTGTGACAGCGAGAGTCAGTGGGTGACGGATAAAACCCAAGCAGTGGACACCAGGGGGGAGCCCGTCACTGTTCTGGGCAAAATTAGAACCAGTGCCACAAAGGACATCAAACAGTACTTTTATGAGACACGCTGTCGGACCCCCAGGCCTTTCAAAGGTGGCTGCAGGGGCATCGATGACAAGAACTGGAACTCGCAGTGCAAGACTACCCAGACTTATGTTCGAGCACTGACGCAGGTTCGCAATTTAGTGAGCTGGAGGTGGATACGTATAGACACTTCCTGTGTCTGCGCTTTGTCAAGGAAACGTCATAGGACGTAAACAAAACAATACCAGCCCTGCTGGGGACTACATGTTTGGAATTCTACTTCCTGTATAGGATTTTATTTCCTGATGACAGTGCTCTCCACCACAGGAGTATGCGTCATGGTGGTGAAGAGCAACACTCTGCTATAAAATAAAATGATGCTTCTACTGAAGAAATCTTGGGTCCACTTAAATGATATTTCACATTGTTGTGCTGCAAATCCACAAGCCGGTGCAGTGCTGCTGTTACAGAAGAACTCGTTTGAGAGGGGCTGGGGAGGGAGGGGGAACTGTACATATAAATTATTTAAATTATATAAAATGCATGTAGTTTATACATGTTTATCTATCTATATATGATGTATGAATATATTGTGTTATTTATTGAAAGAAGTCTTCTTCAAAAGGAAGAAAATGTCTATAAAAAAAGGAATGAAACAACTCATTTTGAGACTATAATACAAAGCTGGGCTGCAAAGGTGCTCCACAGTAAGACTTTACATGTGCCTTGACCAGTGTGGCTGCAGAGCAGAGAGATAGGACATGGTAACTCACAGGCAGCGGTTGCTGCATATGTTCTGCGGGCAAACCTAAAAAGTGACTGGGGCCTGTTCTGTCCTACAGCCCAAATTCTTAGCGTTGCCCCGTAATGAGGTAACGCTAAGAATCTTATGACCGAAACACTGATTTCAGATTTTACACTGCGCCCACAACTGACCATATTCTTAATGTATGTTGTAATACACCACTTACATCCATTCATTCCTCTGGGAGACAGTTTTGACCAAATAAAAAATAGGAATTCCTCTTGTGGAATCTGCTGGCAGTGACTGACAGTCATCAAACCACCTTGACTCTGTTCACCATGTTTTACTCTCAACTGATAATCATAAGCTGTTTTTGTTTCTTTCCATTAATAAAAAAGCTATATTTCTTACAGTTGGAAACATCTCATTAACAAATTTCCTTTACAAATTTTGAAAAATTGTGACAAATAGTACATTACTTCAGTGATACTTTATTATATTAAGACAAATAATACAATCCTCCTTAAAGTTATATTTTGACCACCTGCTTTACTTATGATCAGAGGTGTGAACTTGAGTCACATGACATTATTTGATGACTTCAGACTTGAGTTAACAAAATGAAAAAAGACTTGCAACTGCACCTGGACTTAAACACCGGCAACTCATGACTCCACTTGGACCTTAGCCTTTTGACTTGAAAATATTTTATACCTTTCCCCAATCCCAAGGACTTCAAAAGTATGTTATTTCAAAAGTGTGCCACGAATCAATTCCTGAATCAACTAACATTAACACTATTCATTCCCAGCAAGTCGACATGTAATTCCCCAGATGATCCTATTTATTTGACCCAATCCAACAGCATCCAGTCAAGTTGACCAGATGCTGTCATACAGAACTTATGTCACATTACTGAATGCCGATTGGATACCAAAGATAACTTTGTTCTTTTACAAAATCTATGTGGTGGTCAACAAAGAATTAAGATGAAGATGCAACAACTTCCAATAAACGTGTTGTAACAAACAGGTACAAATTTTAAAAAGCAGTCGTGATTTTTGTAAATGTGTTACTCTTTGTTAAATGCCACATTTGGTGAAGAGCACATTATGGCTTGTTTAGGACTCAAAACTCAAAGGTTAGGACTTAGTACCTGACCTGGGACTTGTCTTAACTTTGGACTTTATGTGAGACTTGTCTGTGTTGACTTTGGACCTGACTGGGCACTTGATTGCAAAGAGCTGAGACTGACTTGTGACTTGCAAATCAATGACTTGGTCTCACCTCTACTTGTTACCAACTCCAAGATGGAGTACATGGGGTAAAAGCTGGCAAATTCCTAACAAGGTCAGTTATTAGTTATTGTAAAGCAGCAGCCATTACAGAAGTCCCTCACTCTGTTACTGTCCTGTTATAAAATGGAGTTGGGTTTATGCTGCAAGTGTGTGTAGTTAAATCTCTCAAATTGCCACTTCTGAGGAAAAGCTTTGCTATTGTTTTTAGTTTGATGGCTTCTACATTTTACGTCAAGTCTTTTAATTATGTCATCTTGCTGACTGGAGAATTAGCGCCACCTACTGCTTATTTAAATGAACGAACTGTCAATATAGTACAGTAGTTGATGGAAAAGTGCATGAATTTTCATTTTCTTTTGCTGATTTTCTGAAAATTCAGTTCAAAATTTGTGCAGCATTTGGATGGAAACCCAACTATTGACTGGTGGTGTCCCCAAGTTGTGTGTTTAGGGACTTCCAAGGAGTTCAGCCAGGGAGAAAGAGTGACTACGTTTACATGCACAAAATATTCTGTTTTTTGCCCTTATTCAAAAAAGACATTTTTACTACTAAGCTGTTTACACTGCTAATGAAAATTAATGTTCCACTAATACTTCTGTTTACATGCAGCTGTGCATGTTAGTTGGTTTGTGTATATTACATCATGGATATGCGCAGAACTGACCGTAAGCAGACAAGAGCCATATGTCCCAAACTGTTGTAAAAACCCCAACTGCCACCTATTCAAAATTTGCTTTTTACATGACTCATATCAAATACAGACTATTATCATATATGGAATAATAGTGGAATATTAGTGTGCATGTCAACATAATCAGTGTTTGTTGATCAGAGGTGTGATCAGTAGTCATTTATACCATCAGATGTTTAACACTTTTTTTCACCAGTCATAGCATAGAGAGAGAACAGACATACAGATGGAACTTTATGGCATGGGGTCAGTGGTTAAAAGACGCGCAGCTGATGATGTAGAAAATGATGGAAAAGTGTGTTTCGGTGTGTGTATACGTGTCCAAAACAGTGATGCTTAAGAGTCAGAAATTGCAAGCTGCCTCACATCATTTCACTCACATTGCATAAAGTATTGCTCTAGAGGGACTTCTACAATGGCTCCCATTGTGTGTGGTGCTAACCCACAGTATATGCAGAATGAACTCAAAGTCAAACTTCAGTGATGGTTATCATCGCGGCATCCTTGTTATCTGATATTAGTCACAGTACTTACAGTTTTGAAAACCCAGATGCCAAGAGCAAAGCAGCCAGAGTCATAATGTTCCTTATTGTTTATTTGCTAATATATAAAAATAGGTCCCAATCAAGACCAAGTCATAGAAAAAAGAACACGTCTTGCCTCAGAAATAGTTTCAGACACATCCTAAGGAGTGAAAAAGAACCTGTAAAAATAGGGCAATTTATGTGACATTTTGCAAAGCTGAGAAACAAATCTGATTTCATGCCAACAACCTGCGGTCTCCATAAAAACGTCCTCATATCTGAGATGAAACGGTACAACCATCTGAGAGCAAAGCAGGAGATCAAAAAAGACAGAACAACATAAATGTAAAGAGACACATCAGAAAGAACAGCTGAGAAAAAAAAAACCAGAAACTGAAAGATCGAATTAAGCAAATCCCTAAAAGTGCAGTGAGACAGAAACAGACCAGAGGCAATGTGATTGACAGAGATATGACTCAGTCATTATCGAATTCCTCAGAGGTTGCTGCAGATCACAGACTGTGTGTTTTAAGAGTAAAAGGTATGTTATGCATTAGATGGTATGTGAAGAGACAGGAGGACTTAGCCAATAAGAGGATACCAAGAAGGAGATGACTGCTAGCGTGATATAAACACATGTCCTGGGTTACCATGAGGTATGAGTGTCAGTCAAAGCAATAAGTATCACTTTTAAGAACATATTCCACTGTGTTGTTTAAAAATGGATGGATTTTCAGGAATAAAGTTTTTTAAAATGGATATATGGTGTTTGTGGTATCAAACAATTCCTTGAAGGGTCAGGGGACTGCTGCTGGGTTGAAGAGGGAATACTGCACACGTTTGCATTCATACTATTACCTTGGGAGGATTAGCAAGGCATGCATGTGATCTTTGTCAATGTATCTTTGGGTTTTAAAGGAAAAATCCACCCTTAAACACACCGAAACCATTAGACCATTAGACAAATATATGTCATCATGTTAAGATATTTCAATGCACTGCAATGAAGTTTTGGTGTCTAACAAACAAAATCTAAAATTAAGGGCTTCTTTCTAAAGCTGCCAACATGCATCAGTAGTTAACAATCAATCACACTGGGACAGAATCTGAAATAAACACATACCACGCAGCAAATACAGGTAAGATAGGCACATCCTGTACCTGCCTGGCCTTGCATCTCACTCTGCTAGCTTATCATGATAGTAAAATTAACTGCTCTGTTCCAAGAAAGTTAGGCTAAAAAAAAGTGCATGCAAGCTGTGCAACTGTGCTGTTCTGTTGGGAGGTGCAGTGACTTAAACCAATGGTGAGTAAGAAACAATATAAATAAGACATGTAATTTCTTAAGCTATGACTAAAGGAAAATTCTACTAACTGCTAGGCTAATTTATACAATGTCACGTTCACCCTGCTTAAGCTAATAATAGGCAACTAGCAAAAAGCAATTATTTTGTCAATGAACCTTGACAGTTATTATTGAGCGAATTATTACACTTTTGTTAAAGTACGTTGCTGTTAATCTTAATATATGGTTATGTGTTGCACCCATACTTATGACAGCAATAAAATAATAACATAGAGGCTCCATAGTCTGAACCAAGACAGCAAACCTTTTATTTCCTTGTCCGGAGCAGCGCATTACAGCTACACTGCTTCCAATTCTTTTCCTTTCAAAATAAAAGCCCTGGATATATACACTGCATCACTACTTACCAGAGGGAACTGACTCACATACTGAGGCTGTGGTGATCAATATATCCAGGTAATTTTAATAAGGCCTTTTCTTTGAATTTGTATCAAAAATAATACGTTATCTCAATGAAAAACAACAAAACATTACCATCACCATTGTTATCTCAACAATGACACACTACTACTCATGATAGCCGCCCTCGTCAGTCTTTTAACTAAAAATTAACACTATAGAACTTTTGTCCAAATGTTTGCTGGCAAGTGACTGTGAGCTAGTATTGCTGCCAAACATTCTGTTGATCCACTAAAAGTTAAATAACCGGTGGCTAGTAGCAGCGCATAAGCAATTGAGGGGTAATGCTAACAGAAAATGGATGAATGACAGAACTGATGACATTAAATATTTGAGAGAACCTACTGATGGATTTTGAAAGTGATGGGAGAATGACAAAGAAGCCCTTAATGGAGTGAACAACACACTTAACATCTGAAAGTTAATTTTCCTTTAAGTGCCTTAC